GGAGAGGTGACTGTTCCATGGCCCGGGTCTGCCCGCTCTTCCTTAAGACATGCTTTCTTTTGTTCAGATTGCCAACAAAAGAATGTTCTCACTCCCCCTGCGCCCGCTAAACTGTAAAGCTTAATCAGTTTCTTTTGTATTTAAAAATAAATAAAGCTCTGCAGACAATAACATCATGAGGGCAGATGGCCTGTCTTCGTGGTGTGTCGCGCCCCGGCCAAGACTGGCTCAGAATGTGGCCGAACCAGGTAGGGAGTCTGGGTCAGTGGAGACAGATGAGCTAGCAATTGTAGTCTTGCTCTTCTCATGCCTTTAAAAATAATAATTTTTTAATTAATAAAAATAATTTATTTCCTTCAGTTTGAGCACTGATGTCATATATTCGGTGCCCAAGGGAAGCAAAAGCAATGAGGTTTATATAGAGAGACATATATACATGTATGTATGCATATATATGAATGTACATCATACGTATTTTTATGTATCATAAATTCCCAAACTTATTAGTCCCAAACTTATTATTAGTCCTCCTGACCCCCTTTTCAGAATGCAGTTAAATGCTGCTGTACTTTAGTCTATAATCCAGGATAAAGGGTCAGTATCTGCCTTTTCAGCCACCAGCCCCACCCTCCAGATCATTCCAGCACCCAGGCGGTGGTATCACCCACTTTGGGAAACACTGATTGTGTGTGTGTGTGTGTGTGTGTGTGTGTATCCATGTTTCTCAAGATTATAGATATACATATTCATAGACATATACACACTTATATAAGCAAACCTTCTGACACTGAATCTATTAGACTCATAGTGACCCTAAAAGGGATTCCTAGACCGCACATCTTTTCAGGAGCAGATAGGCTTAACTTTCTCCTGAGGAGCACCTGTTGAGTTTGAACTGCTGACCTCGCCGCCAGAGGTCAAATGCGTATCTGACAGCACTGAAGAAATGACTGGAATAGTTGTAGAGGAGGGACAGTCCCAGCCTACGGACCAGGTGGTAAGCTAGCGGCTTAGCCATTGGGCCTTGCCCTGGGAGGGATGGCTGCTGGCTGGATTTAGATAACAGAACGCAAGCAAGTATCAGGGAGAAAGATGAGGCTATCTGCTCCTTCAGAGTTGCAGCTTTGGAGAAACCCCCCCCCCCCCCATAGGACCGCTATGAGTGGCACTCCACATGGGGACAGTGGTCTGCAGTCTGTGTGACTTTCTGGCCACAGTGGACTCTGTGTCTCAGCGCTCCCCAGATGTCAGAGTGGAACTGACCTCCCTCCGTGGGCTTTCAGGGCCTGATGCTCTGCACAGTGGTCTCCAGGCCTTTCTCTCCCATCACCTCTGGGTGGACTGAAGTCACAAACCTTTGGATTAGAAGCTGAGCCCTTAACCGTGTGAGCACCATGCACAGACTCCATGACAACACCACCCCTCTCCCCCAGGCTGAGGCTGTAACTCTTTACGGGAGTAGAAAGCCTCTTCTTTCTCCTGTGGAGCTCTGCTGGTGGTTTCGAACTGCCAACCATGAGGATCGAAGCCCAACTCTAAACCATTTATACCTCCAGGGCTCCTGAAGCGGTTAAAACACAGGGCCAGAGAAGCCAGCTCCGAGTAGATGGTGTGGGGCAAGCATCGCCTGGGCCCATGATCTTGAACCACGCGCTGAGAAACCTGGCTGCCCTCCCCCACTCCCACCCCAGCCTGAGCAACCGCTGGCCTCCAGCCCAGGGGCACGGAGGGACCTTCTGGGTGCCCTGCCCCACGGGATCACCAGGCAGGAAATGAGATGGCTCCAGCCTACCAACCCGGAGCCCATCAATAACCATTCTCATCTCGCTGGCCGGCCTGAAGTGAATTTACAGCTCTGTGCTAAAAACGAGGCCCCGTGATCAATGACTCCCTGGGCATGCTCCTCCAGGAGACAGAACATAGATTGTAACAAAACTTTATTTTCTCCTGAAAATTGCCTGTGTGATTAATACGGCCCGACACAGCCCAGGCTGCTCAGCATAAAAAACAGCGCTCCTTTCTCGCTCTCTCTCTCTCTCTCTCTCTCTCTCTCTCTCACTCTTTCTCACTCTTTCTCTGTCTATCCTTCTTTCAAGACTCTTCCTCCTCCCTGTCTTCCTCCTGCTGTTTGCTGGGCGAGCTCACACAGGGGAAAGGAGGAGGCATTCACATGCATACATCCCTTTGCCTTTCTGCTAGCTTTCTGCTCCTTGTGTGGGTCTGAAGGATACAGTGCCCGAGGCCAGGCTGGACAGCATCTTAGGACTACAGAGTGTGTGTGTGTGTGTGAGAGAGAGAGAGAGAGAGCAAGGCAAAAGCTCAGGTACCCTTCCCAGATGTAACTTCACCTCTTTGTCACCAGGGAGCCCGGATGCCTGGTCCTGGGTGGATGGAATTCATCCCTTCCATCTCCCTAGACACAGAGAAGAGGATTGTGAGGGAAGGGTGCTGGGAACACAGTGGGTTAAGTGAAATCGCTGGTTCTCAAGAAAACTTGAGGGGCTCTCTTTGGTTTCGGGTTTGAAGACGTTCCCAGGGCATTCTTGAGGAGGTGCATGTAGCCTCCCTGGCTCCCGAATGCCTGGCTACCATGAGAAGATGAATTTCTGTTTGGCACAGTCCCTCCCTGCTCTTTGATCAAGATTCATTTATAGACTCTTTGACCCAAACGTTCAGTCCAGTGACGGTCACCTGGGGACCCGCAGGAAGGTGTGCCTGAGATTGTGGCCAGGGCCATTGGAGCCTGTTGGCCTTCTTTATTCCTGGCTGCACTCACCTGGCTCTCTTCCCGCAGGTGCAAGGAGCTAAAGTACTCCAAGGAGCTGCCGCAGATCTCCATCATCTTCATCTTCGTCAACGAGGCCCTGTCCGTAATCCTGCGCTCCGTCCACAGCGCTGTCAACCACACGCCTACCCACCTGCTGAAGGAGATCATCCTGGTGGACGACAACAGCGATGAAGGTAGGTTGGCTCACCTGATAGGTCCTTCCTAGAGAGGGAGGTGGAAGGTGGGGCAGGCGGGACTCACGCCCCCTCCTGCGTGAGCCCAGGTTGTGGGAGACATTGTGGAAGAAGATACCTTGGCACATGGTGGTTGGTTATACCTTGAGTTCTCCAGGCTTTTAAAGAATAAACTCAAGAGCCCCCATAGCACAGTAAGGGCCTCTGGTGATAGAGTGGAGTAAGCATTGGGACGCTAACCACAAGGTGCGCAGTTCTAACCCACTAGCCACTCCAAGGGAGAAAGATGAGGCTGTCAGCTCCCATAAAGACCGATAGCCTTGGAAACCCACAGGCCCAGTCTTACTCTGTCCATAGGGTCACTAGGAGTCTGCATGGACTTGATGGCAGTGAGGGTTTTTTGGTGTGTATGGTTGGTACAGTAGTTAGGTGCTGCTAAGCAAAGAGTTGACAGTTCACACCCACCAGCCATGCTGAGGGAGAAAGAGGAGGCTTTCTGTCTGATCCCGTAAAGATGTTCGCCTGGGGAACCCCCAAGGGCTGTTCTCCTCTCTCCTGCAGCGTCGCTCTGAGTCAGAAGCCCCTCCAGGGCGCTGCCTTCTGTGTTTGTAGAGCGAATTGCAGGCTCTCTCTGTACATTGCTCTTTCACGTACAGTCCTCCTGTGGTGTCAAGGATTCCTGCGAGCGCTCAGTGGCTCAGTGAGAAGCTGGAGGTTCAGTCACCCAGGGGCCCCTCAGGAGAAAGTCTGGCCATCTCCCTCCAAAGAGAGCAGCCCCTGAAATGTCCCCGGAGTGTGGTGCTACATGACATCGCAGGGTCCCTGTGTGTCAGAACCCACTGGACAGCCACTGATGCCCTATGAACTGAAGGCGATGTCCCTGGAGGCCTACCATTCCCAGGCCACTGTTGTCCTTTTCCCAATGAAGGTCAAAGCAAACAGTGAAACTCTCTCGGGTCACGTGTGGTCACATGAAAGTAGGTAGCTGGCAAGCCATTGGGCCTTGCTCTGGGAGGGATGGCTGCTGGCTGGATTTAGATAACAGAACGCAAGCAAGTATGGGTCAGCCACTCCCAGACTCCTCCGAGGTCCTTGGGACACGTCAGAGGAAGGTGAGGTGGCCATGGCGTGGGAGTTGTTAATGGTGCCTTTGTTTTGGCTCTAATCCACCAACCGACTCACTGCCATCCAGTTGATTCTGGCTCCTAGCGGCTCTGTAGGATAGGGGGGGCTGTCTCTGTGGGTTTCCAAGACTGCCACTGTCTTGGCTCAGGAGGTCTGCTTCCGTCGAGGCCTTGGAAAGGCCGTGGGACCGCAGAGGGAAGCCCCCTCTGTGTTTGTGCTCGGACCATAAAATACGGGGCTTCAGTGGTGCATGCTCTAAGGCTTGGGGGCTGATTTCCTGGAAGACCGAAGATTGTTCTTAGTGTGAGCTGTGCGTTGGGCTGCTAATGTCAAGGGCAGCAGTTCAAAACCACCAGCCGTTGCTCAGGAAAAAGATGAGGCTTTCTGCTCCCGGAAAGACTGACAGTCTCAGACACCCACAGGGGCAACTCTACTCTGTCCTACCTATAGGGCGACTGTGAGTCAGAATTGACTTGCTGGCATTGAGATTTGGGGTGTGGCCATAGTCCCGAATCCTGGCGACATCATCCTGCATCACAACATGCTCCCTGCTCCCACGCCACTCTCGTGATCAGTGCAGAAGGGATCTTTGTGACCCATAAGATTTCTGTTGGCTGATTTTCAGAAGTAGACCCCTGGACCTTTCTTCCTAGCCTCCCCCAGTCTGGACGCTCCCTGAAACCTGTTCAGCACCCTAGCAACACACAAGCCTCCACAGGCTGACAGGGGTGGGGTGGGCTGTGTGTGAGGGGCACCAGGTGCTCCTTGAACTTGGGACATGCGGAGGATGAGGAATTTATCAGGGACTCTCTACTGCCCTCCCTCGGAGGGGTTTAAGACCCCGACTCAAATGAGATGTGCTGCCATCGGGTCCATTGGGACTCAGAGTGACCTCGTGGGACAGAGTCGACCTACGGTCCCACGGCCTTTCCAAGGCGGTCATCTCGACGGAAGCAGACCTCCACCTCTGTCTGCCGCAGCACATCAGCCTGACGAGGCTTTTGTTAAGTGGTCAAGCACTTGACCACTGCGCCTCGGGGGCTCCTCTTAAAGATGTTTAGTCGCTGAGAAAAAAGGGGAGGTCTGAGGACTGATTCAGTTCAGCCTGACCTCAAAGTGCATTTCCAACCATCCTCTCCTCCCCCAGGCACCCAGGAGACTAGGGTGGCCTGTGTTCACCTCCTATTCGGCTTCTCTCCTTCCTTGCTTGGCTCTGCTGCATTTGATCCAACCTGGAAGTGCTTTATCTTTAACCGGAAGAGGAAGTTAATGTCTTTCTGCATGCCTGGTATTATGTTCGCTCTCTGCGCCCAACCCAAAGCATGCATTTTCAGTAGCCTCTTATCCATGCGGAAGTGGCACGTGGACTAAGGAATACTGAGGAAGACTGGGTGCCTTTGAATCATGATGCTGGTGAGGACTCTCGTCAGCACCACCGATCGATCGCTGGACGAACCAGCAGGTCTGTGTTGGAAGGCGTGCAGCCAGAATGCTCCTTGGGAGTGACAGTGGTGAGATGTTGTCTCACCTACTTTTTGGACACGGGATGAGGAGAGACCAGTCGGTGGAAACAGACATCCTACTTGGTAAAGTAGAGGGTCAGGGACAAAGTAGAAGACCCTTGATTGACACAGTGGCTGCCACAAGGGGCTCAAACGTGACAACGACTGTGCAGACGGTGCAGGACCAAGCAGCGTTCCATGGTGGACCGGACTTGGCATCAACTGGATGGCACCCAACGACAACAACAACATGTACTTGACACTCCCGGCCCACCGCATACTCTAATCATGGAAATGAACTCCTGCCAGGCAGCAGCCATTTTGTGTATTTAGCTAGAAGATGGGCGTATTTTCCTTCAATCTTTCTGATGGTGCTCTTTGAAAATCCCTTCCTACAAGGAAGAGTCCCTCCCACATTGCTAATAATGTGCGATGCCCGTGTCTCGTTGTTAACTCCTCTGGCAACTACAGACTGGCATCTGCCCGCTCTGAGTATCAGCTGTGCTGGCGACCATTAGCTGTGTCTCCCTTTGTCTTAAAACCATACTCCCTTGCTTGCTCTCTCTGCTCTGAATTCTAGTTCTTCTAACATTTACATCATTATCCTTGCTTGCCTTCTGCCCAAGCTTGATGGAAACATTTGTTCCAGCGATGTTTTTGTTTTGTTTGGTGATCTTAATGAGGCAAGCCATGGGTGGGAAAGGTTGAATGTCCTTTGAAGGTTCAAGTTCACAGTGAACTGGAAGGAAGCAAATGCCGAAGAGCCCAGCCTGGAGAGGTGACTGTTCCATGGCCCGGGTCTGCCCGCTCTTCCTTAAGACATGCTTTCTTTTGTTCAGATTGCCAACAAAAGAATGTTCTCACTCCCCCTGCGCCCGCTAAACTGTAAAGCTTAATCAGTTTCTTTTGTATTTAAAAATAAATAAAGCTCTGCAGACAATAACATCATGAGGGCAGATGGCCTGTCTTCGTGGTGTGTCGCGCCCCGGCCAAGACTGGCTCAGAATGTGGCCGAACCAGGTAGGGAGTCTGGGTCAGTGGAGACAGATGAGCTAGCAATTGTAGTCTTGCTCTTCTCATGCCTTTAAAAATAATAATTTTTTAATTAATAAAAATAATTTATTTCCTTCAGTTTGAGCACTGATGTCATATATTCGGTGCCCAAGGGAAGCAAAAGCAATGAGGTTTATATAGAGAGACATATATACATGTATGTATGCATATATATGAATGTACATCATACGTATTTTTATGTATCATAAATTCCCAAACTTATTAGTCCCAAACTTATTATTAGTCCTCCTGACCCCCTTTTCAGAATGCAGTTAAATGCTGCTGTACTTTAGTCTATAATCCAGGATAAAGGGTCAGTATCTGCCTTTTCAGCCACCAGCCCCACCCTCCAGATCATTCCAGCACCCAGGCGGTGGTATCACCCACTTTGGGAAACACTGATTGTGTGTGTGTGTGTGTGTGTGTGTGTGTATCCATGTTTCTCAAGATTATAGATATACATATTCATAGACATATACACACTTATATAAGCAAACCTTCTGACACTGAATCTATTAGACTCATAGTGACCCTAAAAGGGATTCCTAGACCGCACATCTTTTCAGGAGCAGATAGGCTTAACTTTCTCCTGAGGAGCACCTGTTGAGTTTGAACTGCTGACCTCGCCGCCAGAGGTCAAATGCGTATCTGACAGCACTGAAGAAATGACTGGAATAGTTGTAGAGGAGGGACAGTCCCAGCCTACGGACCAGGTGGTAAGCTAGCG